CAATAAGTATCACTCTTTTATCTATGTATCTAATCCCTATATTTTTAAGTATAATTAGCGTATCGTCCCATTTAACATTGTCAAAAGCATTTTCAAATTCTACGAATCCTATGTACGCGCTTTTTCCTTTTTTTTATCGTTTTCTTTATTGTTACCCGTAAAGCTAATAAGGCCCCTCGCGTTGCTCTATACCCTCTAAACCCTCTCTAAGTTGGTCTTCCCCTAATAGTTTTTCCGCTCTTTTTTCATCCTTATTTCTACGATTTTATTTAAAATTTTTGACACATAGGAAGTTAATCTATTTATTCTAAATTTTTTTCAACTATCTGGGAATTTATTTTTTGGTATGGCTACTAACATGGTTTGTTTATAGTCCGCAAAATTTCTTCCCATATTGCGTATATGGTTAACCAGCCTAGACATCTCTAACCTATTAGCCTGTTTTTTAAGATTTCTGGCATATCCCATCTGATGCCTTATTATTCTTTAAATTTTTAACGCTAAATCAAAATCTTCTCTCATTATGGGGTATCCTAGCTAACCTATTTCCACACTATCCTCCTCCAATACCTCGTCTAGCTCTTCACCTGCATATAGATTATCTAAATATAATTTCCACAAATCTGCTTTTTCCTCATTTTCTCCTAAAATGACTCATGCCTCGTATGTATGTATGTATGTATGTATGTATGTATATTCTTCTCCACTCTTTAAAATTCCTTTTAATTATATTATAAGCCTCATCCGTTTTACCGACTTCAAATTTCCCTAGCATTAACCTTCTCAATGCAACTTGTTACGTTCGAGTTAAGGGAAATTTCTGCTTTAACATCAAACTTTTTAATTTTTGTTTTGAAGACGTCGTTCTCAGACAGTGTAAGTACTTCGTTTGTGTTGTCTCTTCCTAAAATAACCTTAAAATGCTAATCCAAACGTTTTTTTTTAATTATTTAATGCAATATTGAGACTTTCAGTGAAAACATGGTGGTTTAAAAACTGAAGCCGTTTATTATCGCATCAGCTCATTTTTTTGAAGAAAATTAATTAAAATTCCAATTCGAAAGAGACAATTTATAAGTTGGAGAAATAGAGATATTCCAGTTAAAATGTTTACAATAAATGTAAAACAGTTCGTATGTCAAGTTAACAAAAAATATTCGAGTCGGAAATATATTTTGAGTTACAGAAGTTCGCATGTAACAGATGGACAGACGCACATGTAAACGCTCCGATAGGGTTGCAGTTTTTCTTTAACATAACGAGTCCTATTAAAATATTCTTTTAACATACATGTATGAGAGTGTAATTACAACATTGTCTGTCTATATTTTTTGCAATATTTTCTTGCTGAATATTATCATTAACATTTATTTGTGATTCAATCAGATTACTAAAAGGATGAACCGGATTTTCCTGAATCTCTTATTATGCTGTCAGGTGGTCTCACGTATAGTACTATCAAGGCCGTTTTTATTATCCATTATGATGTTAATGAGCGTAATTTATTTGGACACCTAAGTCGTGATGCAGCAAGTATACTTATAAAATGACGAAAGAAATATGTGTAGTCATACAAAACATTTACTTTATATTTAAATAAAAAAAATTGTATGATTACTCTTCTTCTGACGTACTTGAGATAGTACAGTGGCGTTAAAAACTAACAAATCACTTCTATAATTATATATACAATATCATGTTTTTAAAAATTAGATGTTTTAATTTTAATATCAATACTATAAGAGACATTTTGATGGTGAAGAATTTATATTTTCGAAGCTGTTTGATTACAACAGTCGCATCAATTTTGGTTTCAACGTTGGAAGACCAGAGATTTTAAATAATTTTTTTTAAACCTCAGATTTCTATTTGCATTTTGATAGTTTTTAAACTTCTTTTATACTTTCAAAATCCTAAATGCAAACTACAATTCAATTCCGCTGACGAATCAACCCGAGTTTTCCCATAAGATTTTCCTGATTCGATAATAAGATTTTATGTGCCTCCGGTGAAAATATAACCATTGTCGAAGAAGTCATTTATTAAAATAATGCGTGATATTCGGAATTAATGACCGTAATCTAGGATCAGGACTTTAAATTTTTCGGGATGGTCTTGGGGTACATCCATACGTAAATAGCTGAAAGGTTGTCGACTCTTTACGAGTAGACTACATTCTACAAGTATAATGAATTAAGAACTTACTAAGGTTTTCATAATTATAGAGAAAAAATAACAAAAATTCTATCAAAACCATAAATTAAATGCAACAGCAAAATATAAGCCGGCTAGTGTACAGCTACAACATTCTATCCCAGGGTTGTTTTTAAAACATTTTATAGAGGTCCAGAAAAAGCATTCTTTTCTCCGATATATATAACAATATTTTTAAATAATTTATTTGAGTAATTTATTTTCAAAAAATTTTTGATTGTCCAGTTTTTGACTTTCCGTGGCCGTTGCTCTATCCCAACTAATAGAAATGTGACCATCATGAAATTTTGTACACACATTGTTAGGAGTACAGAAAAAGACATAGGCTACCTTTTCATCATCATAAGGTCGTCATTCCTAAGACTGGTTGGACATGCACCTCCACACTTTCCTATTCTGAACCTATCTCGCCTATTTCTTAGTGATTTCAATAGAGTCCTCTGTTCTCCTATTCTTTCTAATACCTCTTCATTTCTAACCTTCTCTATCCACGGTATCCTCATCATTCAACCTTTTCCTAATTTCTAAGTTAACCGTTCGCAAGTATAGAAGTGACTTCTTTTTATTGAAGGCGACTCGACCCTACTACCTTTTATTAATAAAAAAAAATACTATTCCAAAGGGATAGAAAAATTAGTTTTAAAATCTAGTTTAACATAAATATACATTCTAGGAACGTGATTCATGAAATTAAGTAAAAGGTAAATGCACTGATCTGACGCAAAATATTGATTGTTCTTTTTAACAAGTAAATAATTAATGAACATTAGAGATATTGTTTACTTTAATGAACATTGTTTTTCGGCTACGTATTGAACCTGTACGTAAACACAAATTATTAATCTTGAAGGCCGATTGAATTGATAACATTAATTTTACAAAGAACAATTCGAGGTCTTCATAACAATTACCTCTTAAGGCTTTATGAAGCAAAATAATAAACTTGCCCTTGTATTAATCACCTCATCTATTTTCTAATAGAATGGTATACCTACATATAAATGCCCCTTTAAAGAAACTGTTTTGACTATACTGACTGTACAATTACAATTACACACTCTAGCAATGGTTGGCCCATTAAAATTATTTGATTCAACATTACAATTTAATAAAGTATATAACAGTTTAAAATAATTTTATAGAATAGAGTAAGAAATATTACTACCCGAAAAATTTAAAAAATATCATCATAAGGTCGTCAGTCCTACGATTGGTTGGACACGCACCTCCACTCCTTATCCTGAGCTAATCTTCGCATTTCCCTAAAACTATAACATCCCACATCCATAACTACAGTGTAAACTCTATATAACGACAGTTAAGGGACTGAACATTTTTCGGCGTTATAAAGAGTGGTCGTTAAATGGAGAGAAATAAAAGATATTATTTTACTATTCTATAATATTATGCATTTACCAATATAGTACCTACACATTTTGCACACGAACATCATTATTCATACATTGCGTATAGCCTGTTATCTTCGTCTGATATTTTTTGCTGCTCCAATATTTTAATTGTATTTTGTTATGTATCTTACTCATATCTTGAGATACTGCTGGATCAATTTGATTATATAAAAAGTATTTTTTTAATAGTTTCGCTGCATCAAGTGCTTGTTTGATGCTTGGTGGAGGGACAGGATCGTCTTCTTCAACAACGTACACAGCTGCAGTTCTTATCTATTTCGGCAATTTAGAAAGTACTGCTCCATGATTTATAATGCCGCATTGTTGTCGTTAAATAGAGTGAGCGTGACGCTATATAGAGTGTAATATTGTATAGAAAACAATGCAAACCAACCATAGTCAAGCAATTTCGACGTTTTAAGGAGTTTGTCGTTAAATCGACTGACGTTATAAAGAGTTTACACGGTATTTGGGAACAGTATTCTAATTTAGGTCTACCTCTACTCTTCTTAACTCCTGTTTCCGCCTCTAATATGTCTCTGACTAGACCTGTCTGAGAAGGTGTCCTACCAACCTATCTCTCCTATTTCTTGTATGTATGTAGCAATATTCTAGAGATGCCGTTTACCGCGCTGTTTGTAGTAATTTACGTATTCTATGTTTTGTATTTATATTTTAAGTGGTACTTTGGTTTCTAATTTTACCAAATAATTATTATTAGGGCATACCTTTTAAAACAGGCACAGCTCTCCAAGTCTTGGTGAAACCTTCTTGGACCAACTGGCCTAAACCTAATTCTAAAAACAGTATTGGAAATCCTAGGAAAAGCGCTAGTATTACGTATGCTAACAGGAAGGGAAGACCGCCTTCGATCAGTGTGGTCTGTGTGAGTCTGTAAACGTTTCCCAGACCAGCTGACAGGGAAATAGTGCATAGCACCGTTTCTACGTATGTGAACCATGACCCGCACGTCTGAAACAAAAAGAAATATTTTAGGCAATTTCATAAACAATACTGTTTGTTCTTAAGTAAAAAAATAACAATTGTTTGTTTTAAAACTTGATCAAAAGACTAATGACCGTCTATTTCATTTCGATCTTAAGTCGATGAAGATTTACATTAATTAGAAGACAACAACTGTAGAACATTTTCACAAGTTTTTATTAACTTGCAACACGTATTTTAGTAAAATAGTGTCAAGGAAGAGTACAGTTACTACTAAGCAGTTCTCTCGTCAATGTTTTGCCAAACATATGTTACAAGTTAATAAACATTTGTGAAAATCTTACAATGTTGTGCTTTTTCTGGTTTAAATGGATTTTCATCGACGGTATTCAAAATATGATGAATCTGACATTTAATTTTTACCAAATTTTACTATAAATTAAACTAATCTTTGGTAACTCAAAATATTAATGATCAAAATCACAAAGGGATAGCTAGAGAGATCCTAGAAGTAGCAACGGGAATAAAGAGCGATAGAGATTTAGGTCTTTCTCTTTCAGATTACTATTTGCAATAGTGGCTTCAGTTTAACTTTACCGGCTTCAGATTGTGAAGTCAAAATTGTAAATNCTCATTGTCATTTTTTAATTTATTATTTAAAAAACTGTGCACGATGGAGGCAATACTATTTTGGCAAATTTCAGCTTGTGTTTAATTTTCTGTAGGGGTACGTTTATTTATTTTATTTCGTTTCTATTGTGAATTTCTCAAAAACTGAATACCTTAGAAGTATTTTTTATATAATTTAATATTTACTTCTCTAGGCGATTGCTCAAGTTCTTTAACTACCTGTTGCTCCTTATACAAACCAATAAGTATCACTCTTTTATCTATGTATCTAATCCCTATATTTTTAAGTATAATTAGCGTATCGTCCCATTTAACATTGTCAAAAGCATTTTCAAATTCTACGAATCCTATGTACGCGCTTTTTCCTTTTTTTTATCGTTTTCTTTATTGTTACCCGTAAAGCTAATAAGGCCCCTCGCGTTGCTCTATACCCTCTAAACCCTCTCTAAGTTGGTCTTCCCCTAATAGTTTTTCCGCTCTTTTTTCATCCTTATTTCTACGATTTTATTTAAAATTTTTGACACATAGGAAGTTAATCTATTTATTCTAAATTTTTTTCAACTATCTGGGAATTTATTTTTTGGTATGGCTACTAACATGGTTTGTTTATAGTCCGCAAAATTTCTTCCCATATTGCGTATATGGTTAACCAGCCTAGACATCTCTAACCTATTAGCCTGTTTTTTAAGATTTCTGGCATATCCCATCTGATGCCTTATTATTCTTTAAATTTTTAACGCTAAATCAAAATCTTCTCTCATTATGGGGTATCCTAGCTAACCTATTTCCACACTATCCTCCTCCAATACCTCGTCTAGCTCTTCACCTGCATATAGATTATCTAAATATAATTTCCACAAATCTGCTTTTTCCTCATTTTCTCCTAAAATGACTCATGCCTCGTATGTATGTATGTATGTATGTATGTATGTATATTCTTCTCCACTCTTTAAAATTCCTTTTAATTATATTATAAGCCTCATCCGTTTTACCGACTTCAAATTTCCCTAGCATTAACCTTCTCAATGCAACTTGTTACGTTCGAGTTAAGGGAAATTTCTGCTTTAACATCAAACTTTTTAATTTTTGTTTTGAAGACGTCGTTCTCAGACAGTGTAAGTACTTCGTTTGTGTTGTCTCTTCCTAAAATAACCTTAAAATGCTAATCCAAACGTTTTTTTTTAATTATTTAATGCAATATTGAGACTTTCAGTGAAAACATGGTGGTTTAAAAACTGAAGCCGTTTATTATCGCATCAGCTCATTTTTTTGAAGAAAATTAATTAAAATTCCAATTCGAAAGAGACAATTTATAAGTTGGAGAAATAGAGATATTCCAGTTAAAATGTTTACAATAAATGTAAAACAGTTCGTATGTCAAGTTAACAAAAAATATTCGAGTCGGAAATATATTTTGAGTTACAGAAGTTCGCATGTAACAGATGGACAGACGCACATGTAAACGCTCCGATAGGGTTGCAGTTTTTCTTTAACATAACGAGTCCTATTAAAATATTCTTTTAACATACATGTATGAGAGTGTAATTACAACATTGTCTGTCTATATTTTTTGCAATATTTTCTTGCTGAATATTATCATTAACATTTATTTGTGATTCAATCAGATTACTAAAAGGATGAACCGGATTTTCCTGAATCTCTTATTATGCTGTCAGGTGGTCTCACGTATAGTACTATCAAGGCCGTTTTTATTATCCATTATGATGTTAATGAGCGTAATTTATTTGGACACCTAAGTCGTGATGCAGCAAGTATACTTATAAAATGACGAAAGAAATATGTGTAGTCATACAAAACATTTACTTTATATTTAAATAAAAAAAATTGTATGATTACTCTTCTTCTGACGTACTTGAGATAGTACAGTGGCGTTAAAAACTAACAAATCACTTCTATAATTATATATACAATATCATGTTTTTAAAAATTAGATGTTTTAATTTTAATATCAATACTATAAGAGACATTTTGATGGTGAAGAATTTATATTTTCGAAGCTGTTTGATTACAACAGTCGCATCAATTTTGGTTTCAACGTTGGAAGACCAGAGATTTTAAATAATTTTTTTTAAACCTCAGATTTCTATTTGCATTTTGATAGTTTTTAAACTTCTTTTATACTTTCAAAATCCTAAATGCAAACTACAATTCAATTCCGCTGACGAATCAACCCGAGTTTTCCCATAAGATTTTCCTGATTCGATAATAAGATTTTATGTGCCTCCGGTGAAAATATAACCATTGTCGAAGAAGTCATTTATTAAAATAATGCGTGATATTCGGAATTAATGACCGTAATCTAGGATCAGGACTTTAAATTTTTCGGGATGGTCTTGGGGTACATCCATACGTAAATAGCTGAAAGGTTGTCGACTCTTTACGAGTAGACTACATTCTACAAGTATAATGAATTAAGAACTTACTAAGGTTTTCATAATTATAGAGAAAAAATAACAAAAATTCTATCAAAACCATAAATTAAATGCAACAGCAAAATATAAGCCGGCTAGTGTACAGCTACAACATTCTATCCCAGGGTTGTTTTTAAAACATTTTATAGAGGTCCAGAAAAAGCATTCTTTTCTCCGATATATATAACAATATTTTTAAATAATTTATTTGAGTAATTTA